TATATTGTAGTATATTATAGTATATCATAGTATATTATGGTATACTTTAGTATACAGTAGTATATTATGGTACATGATAGTATGTTATAGTATATCATCGTATGTTGTAGTACAGTATAGTTTTTGTGTATATGAGGTTTTCTAGAGCATGTAATGGTTTGCATGGCGTAGAGGACCGAGAGGGCTTCGAGGCTTGACGCCGCAGAGAGTTTCCGAAATGTTTGGTGGTGACCATACCCTCTAAACCCTAGGCCCTGAAGCCCGAAACCCAAAACCCCCTAAACCCTAAAACCCTAAACCCTAAACCCTAAACCCCAAAACCCCCTCTGTCCTCAGGTTCAAGGAGGCGTATCCGAGCTCCGAGAAGATCTATAAGGAGGCGTGGGCCACACGCGCGTACCGATGCTCAGGTTTCGGGTCACTGAGAGGAGCTGTGGTGTGCATATTTTACCTTATGCTTTCTAGCCCAGGTATAGTAGGTTTCATCGACCGAAGCCTCCTGTTTACTGATGGAGCCGGGAAGCGGGAGCAGGGAGCATTGCGTGGAGTCGCAAGCTTATGGAGGTCGTCTATGAGGCCACCGGCGAGAAGCTCAAGATCCCATTCCGTCGCATCCACCTGACGGACGAGGATGCGCAGCATGTGTAGGGATCTGCTCTTTGGGGTGAGGGTTGCGACTTTGGCAGCACCTCTAGATGTGAAGCATCCGGCATCCTACGTTATAGAAGTGGCATAGATTTTAGTTGCAAAACCAGAACACTGTGCAACCCTTCAAGAAATAGTATTAAAACTAATTCCTTACTGGTCATTTCCAGCCCTTTAGCGGAGCTCAAAGAGGACCCCGGCTGCGATCACTTGGATGTCTACGACACCAGCGGTCCTTCGGGCTCCGGGCCGAGAGCTGCAGCCAAGCAGCGCGTTTCGGGTTTGGGGTTTCGTACCAAAGGCACTTTGGGGTTCGGCAGTTCTGGTTTGGGGTTTCGGAAACTCTGGGGGTTGGGGAAAGAAGAGCACCAGAGAGGCGATGCCTGAGGCCAGCTCCCTTTAAGCAGACATTGCTGGCTCCTAACCACTAGGCAGGCTTGACTGACATCTGCTTAGCCACGAGGCAGGCAAAGGTCAGCAATGGAGAAGCTTCTGACGAGGTGCGGATCCCAAGAAAGGCTTGACCAAGCTCCGGAAGAAGTGGATCGAAGGCACCATCGGTTCATTCCAACCTCCTGGGTAGGCATCCGGTCCGATCTTCGAAGTTGAGCCGTAGCCTGGCGTCTGCTCGTGATGTCTGCTGGCTTGTGTCTGCAAGATGCTAGGTGCACGACCGTGTAAGATGCTCCTCGTTGGCTCCCCGATAGATCGGCCGTAGCCGAGGGACGCATTGAAACAGCATCGGCAACCCCAAGAGGCGATGTCAGCTCATCTGCAGCGCTATAGTGGATAGTGGTCGGAACAATTGGCAAGAAGCATATCCTCTTGTTGTCCCTCAACATAATGCCCCGTTATGCCATATTCTGCGTATCATGGCCCCTATGTTACTTAGTTCCAGCTCCTTGGGACCTGCTTGGGGAAGGCCGCGAGGTGGCTGCCTATGCCTCAGCAGCCCAGAGTCGGGAATGAATGTTCAAAAGGTCCCTACCCAGAGACTCCAATACCCCTTAATTAAGGAATATACCTTAAATCATATTAGGGATCCTACTATACTTTAAGGTATATTCCTTATCTAAGGGGGTATTGGAGTCTCTGGGTACTCCCCGGAAGACCCCAACCTGCTCAGCTATCAAGTTCTCCCTAAGGAGGATGGGACGTGCACGCAGATGTACTACGCGAAGCAGGGGGTGATCACCCAGGAGGGCGCCAGGGAGCGATATGCTGAGACGAAGAGGCCTTTTCAGAGCGAGTGCAAAGCCAGAACCAATGCATGGGACCTGTCTCTGCGAACTGAAACCTAGCCCGCAAACCCTAAACCCTAAACCCTAAACCCTAAACCCTAAACCCTAAACCCTAAACCCTAAACCCTAAACCCTAAACCCTAAACCCTAAACCCTAAACCCTAAACCGCAACCCGAAACCCTAGCATGAGGCGCTGTCTTCCCAAGTTAAAAGGCCTCTGCTCCCAGAGTCTCCAAGACCGCTTAATTAAGGACTATACCTTAAAGCATATTAGGGATCCTACCATACTTTAAGGTATATTCCTTAATTAAGGGATATTGGAGTCTCTGCGCTCAGAGCCCTAAACCCCAAACCCTAAACCCTAAACCCTAAACCCGAGTCTCTGGGGCAGACCTTCAGGAGATGGCCTTCATCGCGGCGCCTCCGGCTCAGTCGGCGGGGCTTCGTCGTTGTGAGTTCATCGTTTAGGGTTTAGGGTCTGGGGTTTAGGGTTTGGGTTTAGGGTTTAGGGTTTAGGGTTTAGGGTTTAGGGTTTAGGGTTTAAGGTTTAGGGTTTAGGGTTTAGGGTTTAGTGTTCCTTTTGAGTGTCCTCACTGTGATTTGGTCTTGAGATGCATTTGCTTTTGGTGTTTTCCATGCTGCTGCCTGGCTTTCGGCATGAAAGTTCCTTCTGGTCTTTGCATGTCTCTTGTCTGCGTCTTTGTCCTCTCCTTCTATCCCGCTCATTCTCTGTCCTCTATCAGTCTATCATCTGTTCGCTGTGAGTCTTTCCCTAAACCCTAAACCCTAAACCCTAAACCGCTTTTAGTTTGTTTCTTTCTCTCTCTCTCTCTCTGTCTCTCGCTCTCGGCCTCCCCTCTAGCCAGTCCAAGGCCAACAGCCCCCAAGGACCGACAACGAATGACTCAATACCGCTGGACCGCACAGCCTCCTTCTCCAACTGCTTGAGCTCAGAGATATAGTGGGTTCGCTACATCAGGGTCCCTGTCAGGGTCTTTGCTGGAAGAGTGCCCGCCTTGTTTCTGAGCTACAAAAAAGAAGCACCAATGTAGAGGACCAGCCCAACAGGCCCTAGGTCAGGAAAAGAGCTTCAACCACGGTATGTTCCTCGTCAATCTTAAATCCTAGGCCCTAAACCCTGAACCCTAAACTCTAAATTCTAAACCCTATAATACCCTAAACCCTAAACTCTAACCCCCAAAGCTCAGCTTCCCACCAAGGCGCGAGGGCATGGACCCGGAGTTCGTCCGCTCGGAGGTAGCGCGTGGACGGGCGGGGATCCCTGGGGTGACGTCTTTTGCTTTTCTCAGAAATTCAGCGTTTTCGCCTTTAATGTGTATAGGGTTTAGGGTTTAGAACAGGGTCAAGCTTTTATCAAGATTTGTGTGGCCTAAAGCTCAAACCCAACCCTGGACCCAAATATCCTCAAGCCCCAAACCCCACAACCCTGAAGCCCAAATCCACTGAGGCCATCATCCCAGCAAATCGCAACCACCCGGAGTCCGTGTCCCAGCTGGCAGCGGGGTATTTCATTGGACTTAGTCGGTTGGATATAAGTAGGTTTGTAGATCCCCGATTCGTGTACTTCTAGCTTGCTTGCAACCGTTCTACAGGACATACCAAATGCTCTCATCCTTGAGCTCTGGGGCGGTCCAAACCAAACTCCCCAATATGCACGACTCACCGAATCAAGCTTTTTCGTGTCCTATGTCCTGGGAAGCTCCTAAGATCACGACCTTTTACCAGTGAATGATGGTGGTCAGATTGTTGAATGTGCAACCAGGTTTTGTGGGAAGGGCTTAGTTCACACACTGCTACGGCCAAGGCCTTGTGCAAGTGGGGGTCATGATGCCTCGAACTGCGTCAGGGCCGTAGTCTATGTGCTCAGTAGAACCACCTTGTAGTGCACCCCAAACCTCCTCCTCCTCCTGCTCCTCCTCTTCCGCCTCCTCCTCCTCCTCATCCTCTGCTTTGAACATCTTAAATTGAAAAAGCACCCGCTAACCCTAAACCCCAAATCGACACGCATGCACAGCCAACGCAAAAGCACCCCAGTTTGGAATCCTAATATATACATATCTATATTTCTATGTTATGGTATGTAACATATTTTGTAAAAGAACCTGCTACATATTTTCACCCACCGAAGCCATGGAGAGGTCGGAGCCTATGATCATCGGGCGCCACTTCAAGGCGCCATCCCCGTGCACTAAAGACAGGCTGCTGTCGGCTTGATCGAGGGGATTTTGGGTTTCGGGGTGTAGGGCGACCGGCTACGACCTAGACTCTAGACCCCCATAACCTCACTACGATGGTAGTTTCTTGGTTCCGAGATCCGCGACCGTTTTCTTGACACGGAATCCTGACGTCTTTGCGCAGGTGAAGATCAATTCGAACATCGGGAACTCTGCCGTTGCCAGGGCCTCGGTTTTGGGGTCACGGAAAGAAGCACCGGCGTCTATGCGGTTAGCGTTTGAGGGTTTACAGCAAGTTCACGGCTACTGTGCGGGGGGGTGGCATCATCCATAACAAGGAACATACCATCGGTCCTTGAAACCGCCTGGAGTTCGTTTCGGAAGCCCTCCACCTCAGCAGCCCTCAACATGCTAAGCCGTAAACCCTAAACCCGTTAAGCCTGAACCCATAAAGCTACAGCAATGAAGCCCTTACACAATGCTATTTTGGGGGTTCCTTCTTATAATTATAGTATGATATACACCCAAGCCCTCCTATATCATCTCAAACCTCCGAGGCATCGAACATCGAGGAGGAGGTCGAGAAGCTGCAGTGGAGCTCCCTTTGGGGCCCCGAGCTAAGGGCGGGCATTTAGGGACTCAGGGTTAGGGTTTGGGGCTTGGGGTTCAGGGGTTT